AAGTCTTTCTTTAAAATTTTTTATATCTTATATCAATTTTTGTAAATCTTTTCATTTGTAAAAATATTTTAATATATATATATATTTCATTTTAGAAATTTCTTAAAATAGACATTTTGTTTTATTTCTAATATTATATTTTTATCTATAGGCTGGAAACAGGTTGTTAACAGCTAATTGAATAAAAAATTTAGTATCGATATAATATCCATAATCGATACGCAAAGTATTCATCGAGAAAACACGTGTCCCACAGCACTGAGTTAAAAATAAATCTAAAGAAAATTGACGACCTTATCATAGAAATCAACCCTTTTTAACATCAACTAAATGCAAATATTTATCTGCCTTTTTTATTCATATTTACATTTTATATATGTAGGTCTATAAAAACTACAAACAGTTTGCAATAAGACAACCTAAATCCTTGAAATTATCGAATAGATTAGCCGAAGGTTATACGAATAAAATGTCATTTGGGCAATTTCTTAGACATAAATTCCAAAAAATTAATATATTTCAATTAACATAAATTTTGGAAAATACAATAAAATATCTTGTAGACTAAATGGTTACACACAAGTTCATACACATTTACAACACAAATTTTTTTACATATATATATATATATATATATATATATATATATATATTGTGTGTGTTAAAAAGTGTGTGTGTCTGCCATTTCTGATTTTGTTTACAAAATTAAATTTTCAATATGTTTGTTAATCGTTTCCTTAAAGATTTAGTAAAAATTGATAAAAAATACATTACAGTTGAGTTCGTTAAAAAATTTTTAAATTTGGCATTTTTCAATCATAAATTTTGACAGGTGCCAAAATATTCAAAATTTGATTATTTTTTTATATATATATATATATATATATATATATATATATATATATATATATATATATTTATATGATGTTGTTGCCATTTTATATTTTCAACTTATATGCATGCGTTTTTTATTTTTTTATAAAATAAAGCTTTTTGTTTTAAAAAACAGTTCGTAGGGTCAATATCAGAAGTCTGTGAGAAAAAAACGAGGAAATGAAAAGTAAACATTGACAAATTTTCATATAAATGATATATTCGCCATGAATATTTCGAATAAAATAATTTTTGTGTCGTGTATCGGTCAATTTTTTATCATTGCAGGCGATTCGGAAAGACATGGATAAACGTCCAGTTCTGATTACAAGGTGTTGGGTTTGATCAACAGTGGGGCCATATTATTCCTCCATCCATCTTCCCATTAAGAAAATTTATTCATGATTCAATGTCTTTTAATCAAGGAGACCGTGTAAAGAGTTGCAGGATTTTTCATTTATTGTCTATATCTAATTTTAATTGAAAAAATGACATTTTTTTAAAAATATATGTACTATTGTTATATCAAATTATTTATATATATATATATATATATATATATATATATATATATATATATATGATAACTCATACAATTTTAAATAACAATATATGATATAAAAAGAATAAAAATAAATAAATTTATTTTGATTATATATATATATATATATATATATATATATATATATATATATATTCTTGTATGTATGAAAAATTAAAACATAAATCATTAAATAATATGATGACAAGTGTTGTCTTTTTATTTTATGTAAATTCTTTTTGTCTTATTTAATGAAACATGTATTTGAATGAAAAAAAATGAAACAATAAAATATATATATATATATATATATATATATATAATATTTTTTATTTTAAAAATATTTTAACATCACATTTTACTAAATTTCTGTTTCCAAAATTTGTCTTTTGTTCCATTATTCAAATAGATGTTAAATCATGGAGTTTGATGAAACTTATTTATATTATGAAAACAAAATGGTAGTTCATTGAAGAGTTAATTTCTATTATTAAAAAGATTTTCAAATTTTTATTTTTAAATATCTTTGGTTGACCAAACAAAAACAGGTCAAAAGCTAAACATAAAAATAAAATATATATATTTATAGTGAAATGTGTGTGTGTGCGTGTGTGTGAATGTGTGTGTGTGTGTGTGTGTTTAGTCCTCTTTTGTTTGAAAAAACTGTTTTTTTTACATGTCACCATAACATCCAGTTAAGAATATAATTTTGAGATACGATGTTCTAAATAATTATATATATATATATATATATATATATATATATATATATATATATATATATATATATATATATATATATATAACAATATATTAATTTATATTTTATTTTTAAACACAAGAAAAATTATGTCATTAAATAAATTACAGATTCTCGTTTAAGTAATATTTTAAGATAAGTTATATTTATGGGATAAATTTCTCAATATCAGAAATAGAGCATATGATAAATATAAATATAAAAATGAACATTATTTCAGAAAGTAATAGTGTTGACTTCAATGTGATGAAAAATTTAATTATGTAGAATAAAAACTCATTATTTTTACAAATTTGAGGAAGACCAGAAATATGTATTGAATTAGAATTGAATTTTATTCCGTCTTCACCAAAATATCTTTTATATATATATATATATATATATATATATATATATATTGGTAATCGATTGCTTTTTTTGTTCGAAAATTTAAAATTTTGACTGCATTAATATTTTAAAATCGACCGTTGTAAAAATTTCAATTGGAAATACATAAGATTCTCAGCCATTCGATTTTTTTATATTTATAATTAAGAATATTATAAACTCTCATATAATGAAAAATGTAAAAAATTATATTCAAAAATTTTGTTCCGATATCTTTTTTCGACTATTTTTTCTAATTTCTAAATATAAAAAAAAACAATACTTATACTAGGATAAATGGTGTGTAAAAAAATAAATTTGTTGTCAATGGCTACTAATTTAAATTCCACTAAAAAATTTCGTAAATTTGGACAATTATATATATATATATATATATATATGAAAAAGTGTATATAAATATAAATAAATATATATATGTTTAATTATTTATATATTATATGCGCAGTAACTTATTAGAAAGCGCTCAATATCAGAGATAGAGCTAACATATTTGGTTGGATAGATGTGAGTTTGTGACCCTGGGTTTCACGTTTTAGCGATCGTCAGACAAACTGATTAATGCTTTAAAAAAAATTCACATTATGTAGATTGCGTGCATTGGTGTTATTGTGGAAGTGGCGGGGAAACTTCGTCGTTTTGTCATTCATCGTACTAAAATTAAAACATCGATGTATGCTGACATATATACATACTTGATCGTCCGTCGGGACTCATACATATATAAACATATGTGGGCAGTTTCGGCTATAACAAATAACCAGCTTTAAATATAACAAATAAACCCCCATATTTTTTTTTAATTTAAAAATAAATATAAATAATAATAATTTTTACCTATCATAATTTTACACAAACCCCACCACACGTATATACACACATGCGAGGAAATATTTTTCAGCGGAAAAATACATAATATGACATGTATACATTCACGAGACATTAACGAGACATTTCCGCCACACTTCCAATGTTTAAATTTCAACATTTCAACATACAAATGCGAATGTATAGACATAATACCACCCGTATACATACATATGTCATAGCCGAAATTGCCCACATATGTTTATATATGTATGAGTCCCGACGGACGACCAAGTATGTATATGTGTCTGCATATATCGATAATCAGTTTGTCTGACGATCGCTAAAGCGTGAAACCCAGGGTCACAAACTCACATCTATCCAACCAAATATATATATATATATATATATATAAGTTCGTTCATCAGTGTGTACTTCGTTGATATCTTGTTCCAAACTATATCAGAAAGTAAAATATGATTTTTACATTTATTGTCTCGCATTTTAAAAAGTTAATTAGAAAATAAATATTATTACTTTTTAAAAAATTGTTATAAAATGTTCTCGCTATTTTAATGCTAATTGAATTTTGAAAAGTCTTTCTCAGGTGTTTCATATATTCTTCTATTGAGACTAATTATAATATATCTTATATATTAATGACGTCACGAAAAAATTCCCGATAAGCATAAAGAATAATTCTTGAAAGAATATATCAATATTATTTAGTCTAGCTAAGTATGGCACAAGATCACACGTGTAAGCTATCCAGACATGATTGAACTCACTGCTGTAGTAATAGACTGCTCAGTAAATATGAAATCATGACTTCACATTCACGTGATTTTATTATGAGCTTAATATGGTGCAAGGGCGTAATAACTGGAAGCAAGCTAGTATGAGTCGAATTTATTACGAATGTTACTGAAAAGTTCTCAGCCCAGCCATAAAGAAATTTTAAAGAGTCTGATGTTGGATCATTTTGTCAGATTTTGGGAATCGGAGGGGGGGAAGGGGGAAAGTTTCAGTGCTACCACGTCAGTAAAATTACCCGCTAACAAACTTCCAAAGCAGGTGAGAGAGAGAAAGAGGAAGACAGACAGAGGGGAGAAATTGAGACGGAGGAAGATAGAGAGTGTGTGTATGCGTGTTTAAGACAGTTATATATATATATATATATATATATATATATATATATATATATATATATATATATAGAGAGAGAGAGAGAGAGATAGAGATCAGAGAGAGAGAGACAGACAGACAGACAGACAGACAAACAGACAGAGACAGAGACAGAGGAAGAAATAGAGATGGGGAGAAAGACGGAGTGTGTGTGTTTAAGACAGACAGACAATTAGATACATACATAGGTACATAGATAGCTAGATAGATAGATAGAGAGAGAGAGAGAGAGAGAGAGAGAGACAGAAGGGAAATAGAGATAGGGTGGTGTGTATACACATAGATAGATACATATATATATATATATATATATATATATATATACACAGAGAGAGAGAGAGAGAGAGAGAGAGAGACGGAAGGGGGAAATAGAGATAGGGTGGTGTGTATACACATAGATAGATACATATATATATATATATATATATATATATATATATATATATATACAGAGAGAGAGAGAGAGAGAGAGAGGAAAGAGATAGGAAGAAATAGAGATAGGGAGAGAGAGGGAGAATGTGTGTATGTTCAAGACAGACAGACAGATAGATAGATAGATAGATACATAGATAGATAGATAGATATTGGGTCGGGAAATAAGACGTGAGCGTTTTTTTAAAGTAAAAAGTCTTTGGGAAGCCAAACATTTGACGAATGTTTTAGAAGAAACAATTTCTTATTATTGTTCTAAGATTTATATATATATATATATATATATATATATATATATATATATATATATATATATGATTTTGTTAAGTACATTATTTTTGGTTCTAATACAGACCCCCAAAATGGAATGTCAAGTAAACAAAACGGCTCATTTTCGACACCTTTTGATTTTTGCAACATAATCGAGGGGTTAACGCAACATAATCGAGGGGTTAACGCAACATAATCGAGGGGTTAACGCCTCCAAAGCAACTTGTGAAGTTTTTGACGTGTATAAAGATGGCGCAATGCCTCAAATTTACCGCCCAAAGTTGCTTTTCGCGCTTCAAAAAAGGAAATTTTGAGTTGGAGTATGGCGAGTGCCCCAGTTGACCACTTGAATTTGATGAGGACCAAATAAACAACTTTCTTAACGAAAATCCACGTCAGACGACCAGAGAATTGGCGGAACAGATGAATTGCGATCACAAAACTCTGGTAAATCACCTTCATTCAATAGGGAAGGTTCAGAAACTTAGTTCATGGGTACCACACGCGTTGAGTGACCACAACAAGAAAAGCGCGCAACAATTGTAGCGTTTCCTTTATCGCATTGTCACTGGATGAAAAATGGTGTATTTACGTCAATATGATGCAGCGTAAAAAATGGCTCAACCCCAACAAACAAGCGAAATCTCGAGCAAAAGAAGACCTTCAATCTCGGAAGATTATGTTGTGTGTATGGTGGGATTGAGAAGGCATAATTCATTAGGAATTGCTTGAGCGAAACCAAGCGGTAAATGCTGAGTTCTACGTTCAACAACTGCACCGTCTCCGTGAAGCAATTCAGCAAAAAAGACCGAATCGGTGACAGAATATTCTTCTTTAACACGACAACTCCCTTCCTCACATCGCCAATATGACCAAAAACCGTTATTCAAGAATTTGGATCGGAAGTGTTGCCTCATCCACCGCACTTACCAGACTTGGCACCATCAGATTTTCATCTTTTTCGTTCTCTTTTTTATGCTTTACGTGGTGTAACATTCAATACTGATGTTAAATTGAGGATTTGACTCGACGAATTTTTCAGCTCAAAACCAGGAGATTTTTATCGTCACGAAATAGAAAAACTTTGTGACCGACGGGGAAAAAATTATCAATAGTAACGGAGATTATATTGTTGACTAATTTTATGTAATTTATCATTGTAAGACCATGACAATAAAACATTTTGAAAAACATTTACGACTTATTCCCTAACCCAATAGTTAGAGAGAGAAAGAGGGAGAGTGACGGAGGGAGAGAGAAGAGGGGATAAATAGAAATGGAAAGCGAGAGGGAGTGTGTATGTTTTTAAGACAAACAGAGAGATAGATTGATACATAGATACATAGAGAAAGATGGAAATAGATAGAGGGAGAAATAGAGATGGGGAGAGGGAGTGAGAGTATGTGTTTAAGACAGACGGATAGATAGATAGATAGATAGATAGATAGATAGATAGATAGATAGAGAGAGAGAGAGAGAGAGAGGGAGAGAAGATTCCTGCTCATTCCATGTCAAGTATAGGGACCGAAAGTGTTGTTGCTATGGATCCCGTAGATGCTAGTAGTATGCTTTTTTTACGAGATGGAGTTGCCAGCGTCCACGCCCACGTCCACGCCCACGCCCACGTCCACGCCCACGCCGACACCCAGCCGGTTTGGAATTCATAATTATCCTTCTTCTAGACAGTTTTTTTTTGTCAGCAAAGATTAAAGAACCTCGTCTGTTTTGCCATTTAACCCATAGCAAGAGATGCGAATGGCTTCATTCCTTTCGCAAAGATATTTATGCGGAAGTGAACGCATGGCTCTCAGCCGGAATTTGAACTCCGCATACCGCTCCCCAGCGATAGCCACTACGCTACGCTCATATTCCAGGCGCTCTACTTAACCTAAAAATAAAGTTACATTAATCGCTTGGAGGAACAGCTATTAAATGGAGCTTAGTTTAACACGAAATAGCAAGTATGGGAAAACTACTTGGTATATTTCCAAACTCCAGAGAATCCTCTTTAGTATTTACTAAGTTCTGACATATATATCATGCTCCTAATAATACACATATATCAAATTCCTAATAAGAATCGAATTCGTAAATTAGCGAACAATTACGGCGAGGTATCCACTGAAAGCGTAATGTTAAGAAGCCGACTAGTAGCTTGTGAAGTTAATTTGCTCTCCACTTATATAATGACTAGCAACATTGGTAGATATATATTAGATTTAGTCCTATCTAGCACTGTGATGTGCCTTGATCAAAGAGGGTCATGGATAGGGCGATCAGAGGACGTATCATTCGGCGATATAACTGTCCGAATGAAGAAAAATCTCTAACCTAATAGCTAAATAAATGTTTAGAAGAGTGAAGTGGGATCCAACTGCTACACTGTCGTGGCTGATCAGATAATCTAAAATAAAGAACCTTGTTCCACCTCTCTTTTTCACCGTATATTCAAATAAATGATCAAATTCAGTTGTATTTTATCCTATACATAGTAGTCAATAGATTATTGGCTACTATATATCTGCATAAATTACATATGTAAGTTTTCATAAGAAATTGTATTTTATTAGAGAATACTTAAATAATAAACAAAATTATTGACGTAACTCTTCCTATATCTTTCAACGCTTAGAGAAGAAAGCAATTTAAGAACGGGAAAAGAAAACAGTTTTTCGACAGTATTTCTGTCTTTTTAAGACATGCTTAAAATTGTATATAAATATGGAGCGGTGACTTAACTCGGCGACCCAAAAGGGCCAGATTCGCGTGTATGTTTTGCAATGGAGTGTGGAAACGGCGAATCGGTGAGCTTCGGACGGACGGACGGTGAATCGGGCAGCACTTCGTGTTGACGGAAGTGGTGGTATCGCTTGTAGCCATTTTTATTGGCTGGTTCTGGGCTCTCATTGGCTGAGCGATGGCTGGGTCAGGTGCATAAAACCATGGTGCACTCAGTCGAGCAATTTGTTTTTCGCTTCTGATGCAGTGTATTGGAGATGGAGACGCGGAGAGAAGTATGGACCTATTGGACTCTCACTACCTTTATTTCCTTTTCTTTTCCTTTGTTTGCATCCAACAAATGTTTATACAAAATATTAAAAACTCAACCAAAAATTCTCTTTCTACAAAAATCACCCGCACAAAGAATTATAATATTTTGTAGATTTTTATATATTTCTATATTTATTACAATCTATATTTGATATGGAAATATGATTTTTTTAATATTCATAGCTATGATGAATTTTCATATGTGATATGAAAATTCAATATTTCCTTTCAAATTAAATGTTGAATTTGATTTCATATTTATATTTTATATATTTTCATATGGAACATCTGATTTCATATCTATATTTAATATATTTGCTTATTTGATTTGAAATTCTGATTTTTTTATTTTATATCTATTTTTAATATATGTTCATGTTTGATGTTCATGTTTGATGTTCATGTTTAATCTTATGAAATCAACCATCCTATTCTATCTGGTAAACTCGCCCAAGTATTCACTGATATTTAGTTACCTGATCGTAAAATAAAAGAAATCAAGTAACTGTTCTAGGAATAAAAACCTGGAAGTATTTCAAGACAATATTTTACTAACATATATTTATCAGATTTTGAGGAAACTTTGGGACTAATCATAGATTTCCAAATGGCGTTTTCTTGCCTGTGTGATTTTATGAATATGTACTGTCGCAACAATTGATGTACTTTGGAGCAGACGTCACAAGTGTTTATCTCAATGTACCTCTGTTCAGAGCGTAGTATCTTTGGCTGCTTTTAGAAAAATAATTTTAGGTTGACTTCGTCTCTACTAGAATCGATTCGAAGAATTCCACGGAAAGTTTTCCATTGCATTAAATGCAATCTATCTATCAACCTATCTATCTCAGTTTATTCATTATCTATCTATCTATCTATCTATCTATCTATCTATCTATCTATCTCTTTTTATTATTTATCTATCTATCTCTTTTTATTCATTATCTATCTATCTATCTTATCTCTCGATCTATCTATCTCTTTTTATTATTTATTTATCTGTCTCTTAATTCATTATCTATCTATCTATCTATCTATCTATCTATCTATCTATCTATCTATCTATCTATCTATCTATCTATCTATCTATCTATCTATCTATCTATCTATTTCTTTTTATTCATTATCTATCTATCTATCTTATCTCTCGATCTATCTCTTTTTATTATTTATTTATCTGTCTCTTTTAATTCATTATCTATCTATCTATCTATCTATCTATCTATCTATCTATCTATTTCTTTTTATTCATTATCTATCTATCTAGCTATCTATTTTTATTCCTTATCTATCAATCTATCGATCTATCTATCGATCTATCTATCGATCTATCTATCTCTTTTTATTCATTATCTATCTATCTCTTTTAATTTATTATCTATCTATCTATCTATCTATCTATCTATCTATCTATCTATCAGTTTTTCCAGTTTTGCCATAGATATTTTCTATGGGACAGTGGTTTAAAATAATGTAAAATAAACAAGATATAAAATTTCATTTGTTCTCGGAGATGCAATTTTTGAATATCGCCTGCAGACCTAATTTTGAAAACAACAAAAGAGATAGAAAAGACGTATTCCAACTAATAGGTCTGCAGACGTAAATTACACCAGAACCGCGCCTCTGTCTATGTATGCCGGCTTTACTATGCAGGATTGCGTGTATTTGTGAACGAGACACAAATGGCGAAAGGACAGAAAGCGAGGAAGACAGAAAATAAGTTTGAGCAATCAAGTAGGTTTTCCAAACTAACCAGATTAAATTTGTAGTGATATTAGAATAACTTGACAAAACAAGATTAGATACTCACCAAAAGAAAATTACATTTACACGTGTCCAGCTTAATATTACAGCTAAAACAGGAAAAGAGTTTATTTGAATCATATTTATGAGTCCTATGGCGCTATCTTTTCATGTCCCGATGAATACAATTTATAAGACTGTCGACATGTTTTTTAGAAAGCGTTGGGTCGAAATTGCATTGAATATCACAGTGTCGAGTGAACTAAACTGCAACTGCAATGAGCGTGACGTCGTTTTATCAAAGTAGACGTTTCTTTATTAGTTTTCTTTAAATAAAGATAAGTGTAAACATTAGGATCGTTTACATTTTAACACCCGATACTGAAAGAACATTTTCATTTTGATACTTAGAAAAGATAAGGATTATTTATGAATATTGTTAAGATTTAGGATAAATGATAGCACACAACAAATTACGGGGTGGGATGGATAAATTGTCGCCATTTTATATTTTGCGCATGCGTGTTGTTTGTTTTTGATTTTATCTGCTACACAATATAATAGAGTCAGTTAGGAACCGTCTGTGAGGAAAAGAGCGCCATGACGCAATTCACTCCGCTAGAAATTTGGACACGGTATACTGTCCTGATTAGCCTTCGTACCGGAAGCTCCAATACGAAAATTTTAACGTTTGAGTGTCAAGCTGAGGACAGTGCAGATTATTCGGAAAGAGTTGGATGAGTTTAATGGTGATTATGAAAATGTTTGGAGTGATCACAAGTCAGGGCGACGTTATGCCTCCATTCACCATGCCTTACAATCAGGAGAACTCAGTCATGGCTGTCAGACAATTTCTGCGACCACATCACCATTTAAATCTGGCCACGTAACTACCCCGATTTCAACCCCTTTGATTATAATGTGTGGATCGCAGTTGAGCGAGCGACCAACAAAACTCCTTGTAACACTAAAAATGAACTGAAGGCAAGGATTATGGCAGCATTCACCAACTTAAACAAGGGGACCTCCCAGAATAGTTGTAGGAGATACCGAAGTCGTTTGAAGGCTGTGGCTGAAGCCAATGGCGATTTTATAGAATACAGATTTACTCTTTGATATTTCAAGATATTTTTGTGCAATTTAGATAAATATATCTGTTAAAATGAGATGCCAACGTTATTTTCATTTTTTTTGCGTTATTTAGACGGCAATTTATTGATCACACCCCGTATGCTTGTAATATGAATGTATTATTTATAAGGGTTCAGGACGAAAAATCCGGTACCTTAATTCGAAGATACAGTAGGATTAGCGAAAGATGTCTTCGAAAACCTAAGCAAAATACAGGGTTTACCTAAAGTCCAGACTCATAGGAAATCTCATTAACTATATTTCTTTTATCTCCAGAGATTAAACGTTTTTTTGTTTTAAAGAAGAAAGAAGTGACTTCTTTTTCTGTGGTAGGGAAAAGGAGAAGGTATACTCAATAAAAATCATAGATGCAACACTCTTTATTTATTCAATAAAGAGTGAATGTGCTAAAATTGGCATCAATGTGGTCTTATTTCTTCAAGTTCACGTGAATCTTCCAAAGTGCATCAATCTATGCAACAGAAGTGAAGGAAATCATATTGAAGATACCTGTTAATATTCTAATTCAATAAATTCAATTGAAAGTTTAATTTCTTCAAAATATGCATTTTTGCCTATG